AGGTCGTTCAGCCTTTTAGTAGAGAACTCCCTGATACCGTGGGAATTAGGGAGTTATCTACTAAGCGGCTGCAAGATGCAGCCACAGCAAGAATAGGATCGGAGTTTCATTCAGTCGAATGAAATTGCGATCCGAACAAAATGCAGAATTGAGTTCTAAAAGAAACGAACATACTGTTCTCATTTAGTTAGAACGTAATTTGGCAGTTTCGTCTAAAATGACAGGAAGCATCATGGGAACACAGAGGAAAGGTAAGAATTGTGGGAAAATTGCTCTGACCAGCGGAAATGAAGCACACTTTGCTCCTCCGCTGGTCAGAGCCGGTCAAGCGGAGGAATCCTCCGTAAGGCAAAGAGTCCCTACTTTGTCTAATGATTTTAAAGAAAACTAAAGAAGATAGGAAGAAAAGAAGAACAGATCCTGGGAGAGGGGGAGAAGAGGAAGAGATTGAGGAAAGGTAAGTTTGGCATGACAGTGCCGCTTTAATTTTGTGCATTGTGGTGTTAGCTTCAAACATTGCTGCTTGTCTTATACACAATACTCCATTAAATCTGTCTTGTGAGTAACCCCTAAGTGCCTGAACTAATTCTGTTTTTTTTTTTTTACCTAGATATGACCTTAGTCCAGCCTCCACCTTGTGGTTTGGTTTTGAAACCTAATGTCATCAGACATTCTTTCATAAAATTTCCATCAGTGAAAGACTTAAAGATTAATGCTGTCAGCTTTTTACATTTCTTGATGATTCTGCACTTCTATTTGTGAAAATCAATTTTTTGTCTTTATAGGCTGATCTAAAGTTTTTTTTGTTTTTTTTATATTCATCCTTTCTTGCCTGCCCTTGCATGCACTGCATTTGGGATATGTTGTCTCATAGTACCACTTAATGAACTCCTTTATTCACAACAACACTTGCATGTCAAATTAGGTATATGAGCTTGACGAGGTGTTTTAAAAAGGAATATTTTTCTGCAAAACTATCTTGGAAAACTTGGCACTCGGCATCAATCTTCCTGCATTTTTTTACATTGGTGTTTGTTGAGGAAGAAATAGAATATATACCATTGTTTATATTTACATATGTGCTCCCCGTTCCAGTGCCACCCTTCCCTCAATTCTCAGTTATATTGTCCCTCTTCTTTTGCAGGGTCCCCTTATGACCAACCTTTCTCTCAATTCACTTAGTGTCCCTCTTCTTTAGTAGTGTCCCCCAGTGCCACCCTTCTTTTCCTCCAATGACACATTTCTCTAATTTTCCATTTTGTCAAGGCCCCTTTTCATTAGAGGTGGCACCCATTGCCACCCTTCTTTTCCACCCCCAGCACCACCCTTCTCTAAATTTGCAAAACATTTGCAAATGATATGCATTTATAGTAGAATTTAAACAGCCACACTGCTAAAATGCTCCAGTAACACTTAGTAGAGAAACATGTTGTATTGTTTCTGTGTTTATTCTATCTGGTATAGTCACTGAATGTTTAGTTAGTACTCCTATAAGAGCTAGGCTTTTGCTTGTGTTTAATTGGAATCACCTGTGAATGTGCCATTTGTTTATTTATGGAATAAAATTACTCCTTTCTGCAATTTCAAGTCTGCAGCTGTTTATACCCCAGACTGTTTGTTTTGTCTGAAAACAGGTATTCTGTGTGGGTACGGTATCAGAATACCCTTTGTGAACAAAATGTGAATTTGACTTTCTATAAATATTATTTTTGTTTGGCAATCTTTTCTGTGATGGTCTTACATGTGGAGGACAAACATACCAAATTTAGAAAAAACTTACACATTAAAATTAAATATATTTATTTTTCTTGTATGTATTTTGTTACCTGTAGCTACAAAAAATAAACTGAAACATACTCAATCCGCAGTGGCCAATACTCAATCAGCAGTGGCCAAGTTCAGTAAGGTATTGTCATGCATGAAAAAGGGCATTCATTCTCTGGACGAGAATATAATTTTGCCTCTTTATAAATCACTGGTAAGACCCCATTTTGAATATGCTGTACAATTTTGGGCACCTGTTCTAAAGAAGGATAGTATGGCACTAGAAAAAGTGCAGAGGCGGGCTACAAAACTAATAAAAGGAATGGAACATATCGGCTATGAAGAAAGGTTAACAAATTTAAACCTATTTAGTTTAGAAAAACGTCGCCTGAGAGGGGATATGATAACATTATACAAATATATTCGGGTGGAAATCTATTCACAAACCGGACTTTACATAGGACACGAGGCCATGCGTTTAGACTGGAAGATAGAAGATTTCGTCTAAGGCAAAGGAAAGGTGTGTTTTTTTTTTTAAACTGTAAGAAAAATCAGGATGTAGAATTCTCTGCCTGAAGAAGTGGTTTTATCAGAGTCCATACAGCTGTTCAAACGGCTACTAGATGCATACTTGCAAAAACAGAATATTCAAGGATATAATTTTTCAATGTAGGGTAAAAACTGCTTGATCTAAAGGATAAATGTGACTGACATTCTGGGGTCAAGAAGTAATTTTTTTCCTAGCTTGTTGCAAAATTGTGCTTCAAACTGAGTTTTTTTTTTAAATTATTTATTTATTTATTTATTTATTTTATTTTATTTTTTTGCCTTCTTTTGGATCAACATCAAAAAAAACAAATGTGAGGTAGGCTAAACTTAATGGACGCAAGTCTCTTTTCAGCTATGTAACTATGTAATACTCTGTAAATCAGGTCTAGAATACATTTATTTTTCATTGCTTTTCTTTCCCTGTGACAGCTATATACAATTATTATTGTCAAAACTGTAAATATGATTTTTTTTTTTTTTTCTCAATTGAGAACTAACATTTATATAAAGTAAAGTGCTATAGTGCAAAGTACAGAGGTAGCTCGGTTTACAAACGCCTTGGTTAAAGGACCACTATAGTGCCCTGAGGGTGCCCCCACCCTCAGGGCCCCCTGAGGGTCCTACTATACACTATATGAAGAAGCCTGTTAGGCGAAACACATTTAGATATTGTTTCTAATTTTAATAATAAAGAAATTTTATTGGCATAAAACACTTTATTGCCATTTTCTTTCTTTTTACCTGATTTTACATATATTGCATATTTTACAAGAAGTGCAAAGAATCCATAGGTGGGGATTATACCACCCAAGCGCTTACACCGAGCAGTTTGAGCCTGCTCTATATTACGTGAGTAGTATACTTTATACTCCTTTATTTAGAATTATATACAGTGAGCACTATATATTTTATTCTCTCCTTCTGGGTCGCACAACATCAATTTGGACGTTGAATCTACGCCAGATATTCAGCTATCAAACCCTACTCCACATATCCTTGAAGTGGGGATCATTCCACTTTACGTGCGTAATATCAGAGCTGATCTTAGCTCTGAAAAGTATGAGTAAGACTGATTTTATTATTATATATTTTATCTACCGATTTACTGTGCCATTGGCATTTTGTTTTATTTTTTTCTCTACATATGCCTTACCGAACTCCTAACATCTAATTGACTTGATCCCATCAAACATCCTAAGAATATTTCTCTACACGTGGGACCTACCATTACGGACTGTGATATGTTTTCTCTGAACTATTGCCTACTATTTATTTTACCTTTATATTTTTTATACTTTATCATAATTTTAAGTATATATTGTCTTTTATATACTTTAGGCGCACCCTTATTTCTCGGTTTGCTGTATGTGTGTATGTCTGTTTCAGTATTTGTGTATCCTTTTGTGTGTGTCTGTGTCCTTTTGTGTCTGTGTATTCCTGTGGGCGAGATTTGGAGGCGGGCACCAAGGGCCCAGACCTTGAGCAGTAATAGGGGTCCCAAAAGCCCGGTGGGTAGCTCATCTTTCCCAATGTGGATGCGCGAGGGTTCGCCATCTGGAAACTCCATGTTCTTGCCCCGCCGTTTGTCCCGCCACGTAAGCCAGCCATGGCAGCCATGTGTTTCTCCTCTGTACCTAGCAGGGAGGCTTGTACTGATTCTTCAGTGTAAATCTCGTCTACTTTTAGCATCCAGTGTGCTGTTGTGGGGATTGTGGTTTGTTTCCAATGTAGCGGGATCAGGGCTTTGGCTACGTTCAGGAGGTGTCGAAGAATGGATTTTCGGTATGTTCTGATGGGGGCTGGTGTGGAGTGTAGCAGGGCTAGTTCTCTATCGAATTCCCCCGCATCTCCCAGTATCTCCTTGTTTTTTTGCTGTATCGCATCCCAGAATGTTGTGATATGCGGGCAATTCCACCAGATGTGTTCTTGGACTCGTGCCGCACGTGTTGGGTGTTGCCGGGAAGATTCTGTGTAGGTTGTCTGGTGTTTTGTACCACAGTGCTAGCAGTCTCCTGGTATTTGGAGCTTGACTAGCTTTTATGGTGTAGTGTGGTTTTGTTTTTTTCCCCATTGGGCATCAGTAAATGATTTTGTCAAGTAGTTGTTACCATCGTCGTCCGTAGGTGTTGTGGAGATGTGCGACCAGGCGGTGTTGGTATAGGAGGGAGATGGCTTTGTCTAGGGTTGTTGTCCCAGAGGCCATCAAACCATGTTAGATCTCGGTGTATTGCATCTCTGTTTGGGAGTGATCGTTAGAAGTATTTATGTTGCGCATAGCAGAACTTTTGTATGGTTGACAGTGGGTGGCCCTCCATCAACTCTCGTAGTGGCTTAATTTCCGCGTTGAGCAGTGCCTTGTGTAGGGGGATGCATTACCCCCTGTCGATGAAGACCCAGGTTTGTGGAGGCACTCCCCCCTCCTATTTTGGGGTTATGTTGCACTTGGATCAGTGGGCTCGGTGTTGGGGACACTTGGGGGGCTCCCCTAATGCTGTCCCAGACCCTCAGCGTGTGGGCCACTGTACAGTTGGGGTCCAGGGTGGGTGGTGGTGAGCGTCCCGTGTTCCATACCCTCGGAATCAGGGATTGGGTGTAAGTGCCCCTTGTCTACTGTGACCCACTGTTTGTGTCTTGGGTCGATGTGCCAATCCAGCACTCTCTGTAGGACAGACACTTGGTGGTATTTGCGCAGGTACAGGAGTGCTAGGGCCCCCCGGGCCTCGGGAGGCACAGTATGTCATGTCAGAGGCGAGTCTGGTTCCCGTTCCACACGAAGCGGATCATGGAGGTGCGTAGTGATGAGAAGAATGACGCTGGTAAGGCCAGGGGTACTGTTTGGTAGAGGTAGAGTATTCTAGGTAGTATGTTCATCTTCAGTACTGCAATTCTGCCAAACCAAGATATGTAGGGGTATGACCACTTCTTCAGGTCCTGTTGGAGGAGGGGTAGGTAGTTTGTCTGGTATAGCTCATTCATATCAGTAATGAGGGTTATTTCAAGGTAGCGCATGTGGGACAGACATCAGTGGAAGGGGTATTGATGTTTCAGGGCTTCGGTTTCTGGCGTGGGCAACGTGAGGTTGAGTACTTCAAATTTCGTCATATTCACTTTAAAGTCTGACAGTTCTCCGTATTCCTCAAGCAGTTCCATCAGTCTGGGTAGAGTGATTTCTGGGTCGGTAACGAAGAATAGGAGGTCGTCCAAGTAAGCAGCTACTTTGTGTGTTGCGGACTGCCACGGGAAGCTCTGTATTTCTTTTGACTGTCGGACCACCTCCAGGAAGGGCTCGAGGGAGAGTGCAAAAAGCATGGGAGAAAGTGGGCAGCCCTGCCTCGTGCCATTCCGTATCTGGAAAGTGTCTGTAAGTGCGCCGTTCACCCTTACCTTTGCGTTTGCATTTTTATATAGTGCTTTGATCCATAGCCTCATGCTTCCGCCGAGTCCTATCTTCCGTAGTGTGCTCATGAGAAAGAGAGAGCCAGTTCACTCGGTCGAATGCCTTTTCAGCATCTGTGACTAAGCGGAGGATCTGAGCTTTGAATTTCTCTGTTAGGTGTTGGATCGATAGGGCTCTCAGGGTACTATCCCTGGCTTTTCTCCCGGGTACGAATCTGGTTTGGTCTGGATGGATGAGTTTTGGCATTAGGGGGCCCAGTCTGTTGGAGAGTATATTCTTGAGGAGTTTCACGTCCACGTTGAGGAGGGAAATTGGCCTGTAGCTGCCGCAGAGTTCAGGGTCTTTCCCTGGTTTGGGGAGGACTGTGATGGTTGGAGCTAGTGATTCCTGGTGGATTTTGGACTCCGTCAGGGCGTTGAAGGCTTGGGTGAGTTCCAGGAGGAGGATGGGTTTAAATTTTTTGTAATATTCCAGGGGTGAAGCCGTCTTGTCCAGGCGCGCGTCCTGTTTTAGCCACTTTGATCGCTCCAGCTACCTCTGCTTCTGTGATTGGGGCCTCCAGTGGTTCCATCTCGTCTGGTTGGAGCCTCTTCGTGATGTATTTCGTCAGGTATCCGTGTATCCTGCGTTGTTTCTCAGCGTCTTCCGCCTGCTCTGTGGAGTGGACTCCAGTGGATAGTTCACATTGCACACAACATCTTGACTTGTGCAAAAAAATTATACTGCTGGTATTTGGCCCTTTACAGAATAGCTCATATCTTCATCCTAAAGCGTGACACCAGGCTACAAACAGTACAATAGGGACTGTCCTGCTGAAATCAGAACTATTGAGGCCCACGCTAGGAGCTGTCCAGAAAGGTTTCTTTGCATTGGAAGTGCTCAGGAACAGTTGGTGCTTCCTGGAAATCTGGCTGCGTAGCTGTAAAAATCGAGAGCCAACTTTAGCTTT